AGGATGGTCTCAATCTCTTGACCTCGTGATCCACCCGCCTCGGCCTCCCAAAGTGCTGGGATTACAGGCTTGAGCCACCGTGCCCGGCCGCTTTCTGCGATTTCTAAAGGAGGCAGTTTATTTGCTAACTAAATACATGGAGATTCTTTTTCACCAAAGGTGATATTACACTTAAGAATTTTAAAAACAATGGACAAACAGGCAGTTAAGTTGTTTTAATGCATTTTCTATTTTCTATTTTGAATTTAAAGTTCAAAATGGGTTTCCAGAATCTGAGATAGACATTTCTCCCTTGTAAAAATTTGTATCAGCATTTCAGGAAACATTATACTCATTCCTACTTTTGACTACTAGGACTTATCTATCTAAACTAGCTGATTTAGACACCAGGACTAGAAAATCAAACATACAAAAATACGGCCAAGGAATAAGACTATTCCTTACTAAAGAGACTGGGATTTGGTGGCAAGAGTAGAAAGAAAGATGAAAACTGAGACCTCACTGCACTCTGGACAAAGGGCAAAGAGAGTCCATTATACATTCCCTCTTTGCCACAGGAGCAGATATAAGCTGGCCTTTTGACAGTCTTGGACAGAATACATTATCAAATGCATATCTTTCTGGCTTCCTCAGTCAGCTGATTCAGCAAGAAATCATTCAGGAGGCAATGACTCCAATGCAGCACAAAGAGTGGTTATTTCTAACTAGAGAGTCAACTAGAGGGTGTCAACGGTGCTGTGGCAAACATACACATTATAGGTTTTTATTTGATGGAAGAAAATGTCAGTTATTAAAGTTATGTACAGAAGAATGCACTTCCAATTTAACAGGATGGTTAGTTGATATATTAGTTTCCAAGGTCCACCGTGGTTCAGCTACGAAGTCAAATCTCAGTTCCAGTAATAGTCTACTATTTTGTTTAATAGTCTACTATTAACAAGATACACTGACTGTTGCTTCTTAGTACAAAAGCCTGGATGTTTGCTAAGGAAATGGCCTTTGAGTCACTTATACAAAAAAAAAAAAAAAAAAAAAAAAAAAAAAAAAAAAAAAAAAAAAAAAAAAAAAAAAAAAAAAAAAAAAGTTACACAAAAAATACATAAATAAATACAAACAAAAAAATTAACTGGGCATGGTGGTACATGCCTCTAGTCCCAACTCCTCAGGAGGCTGAGGTGGAAGAACGGCTTGGGCCTGGGAGGCAGAGGTTGCGGTAAGCCTGGATTGTGCCACTGCACTCTAGCCTGGGTAATAGAGCTAGAACTTGTCTCCAAAAAAAAAAAAAAAAAAAAATCCAGCACTTTCTTTCTTTCCTTTTTTTTGAGACAGTCTCACTGTCGCCCACGGAGTGCATGCCGCAGCACAAGCAGGGCTCACTGCAGCCTAGACCACCCAGGCTCACAGGATCTTCCCACCACAGCCTCCTTAGTAGCTAGAACAGGCACATGCCAACATGCTCAGCTAATTTTTTGTATTTTCTGAGATAGGGTTTTGCCATGTTGCCCAGGCTGGTCTCAAACTCCTGGGCTCAAAAGATCCACCTGCCTTGGCCTCCCAAAGTCCTGGGACTACGGGCATGAGCTACCATGGCTGGCCAACACCATCAGCACTTTCAAGTTTTGGTTTTCTCCCTTTTGACCTCCACTCTTAACTAATGATGATTTTCATTATCTCACCAATCTCAACTCCTTATGCCATCATAAAGATAGATAGTAAGGAAACTTTTTTTTTTTTTTTTTTCGGGGGGGGGGGGTTGTGTGTGTGTGTCAGAGTCTCACTCTGTAGCCCAGGCTGGAGTGCAGTGGTGCAATCTTGGCTCACTGCAACCTCTACCTAACAGGTTCAAGCGATTCTCCTGCCTCAGCCTCCTGAGTAGTTAGGATTACAGGTGCACACCACCACACCCAGCTAATTTTTGTATTTTTAGTAGAGATGGAGTTTCACCATGTTGATCAGGCTGTTCTCAAACTCCTGACTTTGTGATCTGCCTGCGTCAGCCTCTGAAAGTGCCCAGATTACAGGCCTGAGCCACCACACCCAGCCAGGAACTTTTTTCTTAATGTAACCAATTAATGTTAACACTATAAATAATAGCACTCAAATCTGAAAATAACTCAAAACTCATGAATGTTTTATACAGTATAAAACAGTTATCTTGAGGAGTGGGGGTCTAAAAAAAAACAGTTAACTAGACAACTGCTATATTTGAGTATCATCGCAAATACCTAATACTAAATACAAATACCTAAATATCAAGCTGCCAAATGAATAAAAGCAGAATATACATATTAATTATCCATTGTTTAATTAAAATTTCTACCTCTTCAACCACATTGTTTTATACTTTCTCTTGCAAACTAATTTCCTGAACTAAAATTCAATTCATCAAAGACAGTACCTCAACCCTAAAAGTTATCACCTGAGAGAATAACTGGTAATTTTCATTCTAGTTTTCATAAATATGGAAACATTTCTATTCTTTCAACTATGTTCATACTCCAACCTCCTCAAAAGTTTTTAATATACAATGCATTCAAGGCAGGGTGCAGTGGCTAATGCCTATAAACTCAGCATTCTGGGAGGCCAAGGTGGGAGGATCCCTTGAGCCCAGGAGTTTGAGAACACCCTGAGCAGTGTAGGAAGACCCCATCTCTACCAAAAAAAGAAAAAATCAGCTGGGCATGGTAGCATGCCTCAGTGGTTCCAGCAGGTTGGAAGGCTGAGTCATATGAAGGACACAAAAATATATTAAACA